TGTCTTGCCGGTTTCTGACGCTTTCGAGGCCACCAGCGAGTATTTGGAGATCATGACACAGTGGAGTTACAGTCTGATGATTAGGCCCCTCTCACAAACACAACTGAGGTACAGACAGAAATACATTTTACGGACAAAGACAAGGGAGACTGGAATGGCCATTTCTGACTTTAGCCGTCACCAGCCAGCCATACCAAACCCCAGTTTTTGCTGCACCCGTTAAGCGCCCCCCTACCATTATTTATATTATTTTAGGACATTTTACTGTCAAGACAGGGACTTCCAGGAAGGCGTTTTTTGGCCTATTAGCCGTCGTCAGCTGGAGATACCCAACTCCAGTGTAGCAGCGGAAATTGCCGCCACCCTCGAGTTTCGAACCCGCCACCCTGTTAGTTAGAGGCCAATGCCCTAACCACTAGGCTACGGACCCGACGACACACAACGAAATCAAAAACCAAAGCGGGTGTGCCCTGTAACTAACCAGTGTACGCCTATCTACTAATTGATAATATTTCCTATCGAAACCGGGAAGACACCGAGCCCGTGGCCTGGTAGTTTAGAGTGTTCGACTTCCAAACAAGAAGTTGCGAGTGCCAGCCTTCGATGCCGCAAGATCTGGGGTTAAGTATGGTTGGCTGATGAGTGTTAATAAGAAGATCAGTACTTTACGTTACTGTGTTACGTTCTCTCCTTCTCCCTCCCTCTCACACATTCTCTCTCCCTCTCTCTCAAAGCCGACTGCGAATGCTCAGCCGACATCGATACCCCCCGATCCAAAGATCTCCGACCCAAAGACCCCCGAGCTCCACTACCTGGACGCCAAAAATCTCTATTTTTCAAACAAGAACAGGAAGAAGACGCCTCCCCCTATCCCAGCCAAGCCTGTACATCTGCGTAAAAAGCTTTCTGAACAGTCGTCACCAGTCAAGCCCCCCGCGTCCGCGGTTAAAGCTGCGGATGCTGGGGCCGACCCCGACCGCATCGAATACAAGGAACTGGATCCGGTGACTACATGTGCTTTGGAGTACGTTACTAATCTGATCACGGATACTAATAAGCCGACGTAGACACACACGCACACGTTGACTGACAAATATTCGCTTGTGCCTTTACTAAAACTGAACCCTTCCTGCCATAATCTGACCTGCTGCTGCTGCTGCATCCTTGTTGCCTTCCACTTTTATCCTAATTTTATAACAACTTTGTACTAATCTGATTGTGACTGCCAAATTTTTTGCCTTTGTTTATCTCTGTCATTTGAGTAAGAAAAATCAATGCATCTCTTCTCCGCTGGCCATTTTGTGATGGGGATGGTTTCCCGGTCCGGATGGCGGTGGTGACCCGCTGCTTTATGCCAACGTTTGGCTTCTGACTTGTTTTTGGTGCATGGGGGTGAGAGAGCATGCTTTGCGTCGGTTGTCTCTCTGTGCTTTTGGGATGTAAGTTTCACTTCCGGGTAGAATCCTTCTTTGGGTCCTAGATCAGCAGGCGAAAGCCCCATCCTTCTGTTATACAGGACCGGGTGTACTAAAGAGTATCCAGTATGGGCAATACAAAGGAAAAGATATAAATAAAAAATGTTTATAAAAGTAGAAAAACCGGAATAATTATCTGAATAGGCTACTGATTGTCTACAAAAAAGCGCGCCATAATTAAAGTGTGCAATTATGCAAATATTGGGAAATAAGTAAATTAAAAATAAGTAAAATTAAAATCGACTAACTAAAAAACGTTAACTGATGTAAGCTAAACTCACTTAACTAAAAATAATCGGCAAAAGTAGCTTATGTAGTCCCACTCATATACCCCTAGTCCCAACATTTTTTCCTACAAAAACGGTAGTTATAGAGTTTTAGGGGTGGGAAAATAGGACAGGCAGTGAAGGAAATTTTTAAAAGTAAGCGTACATTGAAAAAAAATGTATTCGAAGTTGCTTCCCGCGGCCGCTGGAAGTAAGTTGT